GAACATTGTGTCTCTGATTCCTTGGCCTGTTACTGAACTCGGTACCTGGCATAAGGAGAAAAAGCATCCTGTTCATTTGAAATGATTTAACATTTACTGTTTTCCCTGTGTTTCTGTGAAAGAGTTTCTTATGGTGATCCCTAGTGGATAGTTACAATCTACTTAAAATGCAGACTCTGTAAAAACCAGGAAAAGAAAACAGCCTTTATGATCAAAAAATATTTTGTACAATAAAAAAACCCACCTTGTTGTTTTTGCATTGAATGTATCAAAATTACTTGTCCAAAATGAAGTTTCTGTCCTGTCCTATAGAAAGAGGTAGGGGGGAAATGGTATAGCTCAATAAAACTATGATTACTTGGGTCTGTGTTCATAATGGGACATAATACAATAGTTAAAAGGGGCTGTAGAAACTATTAAGTGCTTGATGGATGTTTGTTCTAATTTGATTCATATTTAAAAACTGTTAATTTAAATATTGGAAACAAAGGAGAAGCTATATAAAACTAATCAAATACTGTTTCTAGAAATAAACTTTTCAAACAGTGAGGAAAAAAATGCCACCTCTTTAGCTTAGGCATTTCAAATGCCCTCAACAGCCCAGCTATCAGAAATGGATGTCTTGTGAATGATCCATTTTATGGAGCTGTGCATGCTGCAATATTTATACTAATTGCTTTAGTGAGGGTAAATTAAACACAAGTAAATTCTGGTGGGTTCTGGAGCCCTGTTGATAATTTCTCCTTCATTGAAGAAAAAGAAAATTCCTGTTTTTTAATTTCTCAGGTCCCTGCATCCAAGTCCGTGTTGTGTTCTGTTCGCATTGAGGTAATGGGAAAGGCAGACTTTTTCCCAGGAATCCAAAATAAATGTTTATCTTGGTGCCTTATGAAAAACACGAAGGAAAGGAAGCTTGTTGGGCCTACAGAAGTGATATAGGATTTTATATGGGGATAATTTATTGATTCTTGGGCTTTTGTGAAAGGAGACTTCATTGAGGTGTACGGCCTAATTAAATAGACTGGAACAATTCTGATTCTGGCATTTTTCTTAAAACTGAATATATCCTGTTACATGTTTGTGCAAAGTGAGCAAAGGTGGCATTCAGGACTCTTACCACCCATGTTGCGTGTTGTAATAAAGCATCTGCCATAATTCTTAGTGATTTAAAAGAGTGTCCCACATAGATGTTAACCCATAACTGTAACTATGAAACTGAGAACAGACAGTATGGCTTTTTACTCCCCTTTAATTACTTATAATCAGCAATAGCTGGCAAAGCTTGAGTGCTTCATGGTGATAATGGCATTCTGTAGACTGCAGGAAATGTAACATGGCATCTTGGCAGCACAAGTGTCAGTGAAAGGAAAGAAAGAATTGATAGTTATTTTTTAACTTGTGTGAGGAGGGACAACAATGTGCCAGCTGAGCTACTGCACCTTCAGGTGTTGGGAAATTTTTCTTGGAAGCTTGAAATTTAAGTGCTTCTCTTTTAAACAGAGAGATACTGAAAAACTCTTGCATGTTCTTACACTGCTTAGATATATAGGATGTGTTTCAAAGACATGGGGTTTTTTAACAAGCCTGTTGATGTACCTGTTTAAGTCTGAATAGTATTTAATAGATTTTTAGTGGTAGTATGTTTCAGTACTTGAAATAACTTTGGATGGGATAATATTTTGTCCTTTTTACGTCAGGTTTGAAGAACAGAACTACACAAAGAGTCTGCTGGAGTTACAGGGACACTAAAATTATTTTTGAATATTTACTAATACACTTTAAGGGCATGTTCCTGATTCATAGAAAATATTCCACAGTGTTTTATTTCCACCTGAGCTTTTCAAGCAGCTGTGTATTTTAGCATGGAATATTTCAAATTGTTAGCTCGATCTATGTTTTAAAGTATACAATTCTGGTTTGCTTGTTTACTGAATTGTGGGATTTTCACTTCTTTTTTATTTTTTATTTTCATACCATACGTGCTGATGTTGAGAAGTGTGACTGCTTGGACTGTCTAGGTATCAGAGAGGTCATGCCAGCATTACAAGAACGTAAAACATTGAACCTGGCATTTGGAAAACAAAAATGAACCATTCTTCAGATTTTCACACACCCAACTATATCCTCAGATAATAGACTGGCTGAGTCTTCTCGCTTCTGAGATAGCTGTATTTGAAACAAATTTCTTATCTCTTGGCTGTGGTTTCTTATAATGGATGGCGGGGAGGAAAGTGGTAAGGGTTTGGTGCACTTAGGAGGAGAGGGAAAACAAGGCAATGGGACTTCTTCCTGGGAAGCTGTTGGATCTGATACAAGTCTGCTCTGCTGCTGAACTGAGGGTGATGTCTTTATAGGTAACTTCCCAATTACATGTGGAAAGTATGGTGCCATGGATTAAGCCTTGCCTGTGGCTTTGGTGGAGCACAACATGTAGCAAGGACTAGGAAAACAGTTAGAATAGAGAGCCCAAGGGTTTTGAAACACTGTGAGAGTGCAGATCTGTTCATACATCTTTACTAGCTGCAGCAAGGCAGTGGGGCAAAAAAATATTTCCAGGAGAGAAACTCTTGTCAACCTGAGATGTGTGCTGAGCCCTAGGAAATGGATGGTGTGCAGGACCCAGTCCTGTGATCTGTGCCTTCAGGGGCACTCAGACAAAAGCTCTTTTCTCTGGGGAGCTGCAAGATCAACAGGGAAAGAAGCTGGATGACACTGATGGGAACACTGTTGGCCATTGTGCTCAGAGGCTGGCCAAGGAGGAGACCCAGGGGAGAAGATCTGCTCAACCTTAAGCAGCTGTGCTTGGAATGGGGGTGCTCACCAGCTCTTGGGGGATGAAATGGGTCAAGAAGCAGCTCTTTCATCTTTGCATCATAAAGGATAGCAAACACATGGATGGTTCCAGAAAGTATCTAAATAACGTGTTTTGTGTAATGTAGTATAATGAAACACCTGCTTCTGTGAGAGAGGTATGGGTCGAGTGAGAAGGAATTAAGATGAGTGTTATTTTTAACAGTTTAGCCAGCACTCATGGATTGACTTAGGAAGCAAAGGTCACAAGTTCAGCAGCATTTGTCACTTCAGCTCAGTTCCTAATTAAACAATTTTAACATTATAAAATCGCAGTAAACTCAGAAGTCCCACAGTTTTCATGCGCTGCGTGTGTGGTAAAACACAAGCATCAGACGTAAGTAAATCTCAGCCTTCAAATCTTTAGAAGTATTTTTCTAAAATATATATATATATGAGTTCATCAGTAAGCCAAGGGCTGCTGAAATGTGTTTGGCAGTAGTCCCTGCTGCCTCCAAATGCAGCTGAACAAACAGCCCACAGCTCACACAGGAAGACAGGCCAATTGGGTAGGAGGGCAGGAGGGGACAGCATGGTAGATTTGGTGTCCCAGCATGAGAGAGAAGCACGCTGCCACCTCTGTGTTTATATAGCCGCTAGGAACTGTGCTTAGGAATTGGTTGATCCTGCGGTTGGGGTGGTAGAGAAAGACCTTTCTAGTTTTCCAGCATACATTAAATGACCAAAATGACTTTAAATAAACTTTACTTAAAGCTTTGTGTGTCTTAAAGAAAAAACTCGGTTTGGGAATTCGACCTGTAGGGCTCTTGGAAAGAAAGAAAAATTAGGTTGTTTTTCTTGATGGGGGAGAAAAAACCCAGCAGACTTTTCTTTAATGATGATTGTTGTTTTCAGGGAAGGCTTTCCTGGAATAAGATTATTACACTGTTATCAATGTGGCATCACTTTGCTCTTTTTATGGCATCCTTTTGCTCTTTGTGACTTCGCTGCTTTAGCAAACACTTTCTCTGTATTTAACTTGCAGTAAGCTAGGAGGCTTCAGGAGATTGACCGCAGAGACTCTGCTGGCTGCACATGAGGGAAGTGTGCACAAGACCAAATTATTTTTGAGTAGTGGAGTTTATTGAGGCCACATCTGCAGCCTGCATGATTTTACAACCACTGTTAACAGAAGTACAAGGCATGGAATAACCGCCATCTATTTTAGCTGTGCAGCATGAAGTGCTATTATTAGGGCCAGCATTAGGAGCTGGAAATCCAGATACAGACAGTGGAAGGAGAGAGGCATCTTGAAGGGACTGATGTAGAGAATTAGAAGGAGGCTGTGCCCTTCAGCATCCACTGTAGCTCCTAAGTAGCAGCAAAACACTGTGGCAAGCAGGTCCAATGAATGTTTATGGTGTAGTAGCCTATAACATCATGAGCGGGGATGCCTGCTTCTCCAAATTACTGCCTTTCAGATTTTGTAATCATCTTCCTCCAGAGTTTAACATGGCCTTTTTTTTAGTGTTGTTATGCACTGTGAGTTGCACCAATATTGAGTAAATGCCAATCCACCAAGTCCTGGTGCAGGGCTCTGGAGTGACACGGTGACAGTCCAGCCTTGCCCCATAGAGTGCGCAGGGGGAGGATGTATGTATGTATGTGTGATTTACACGGCAAATGCATGGCAGCCAGTGGCAGCAGCAGATTGATAACAAAAGTGTTGTTGAGGATTACGTATCTGTTGAGAGCTTCTGTTCAATGATACCACATTAAAGCCACAGAAATTTCCCTTTCGATATATAGAAATAGGTTGAAGTAAACCATGACTGAATGCAAAGGAGGTTTTCCCACTGCTTTGGGAAAGATCATGTCAAGAATGAGAACATCAATGAGATCATTTATGGGATCAAATACTAATTTTACTTCTGTGCACTTGTCGTCTGAAAAGCAATTTAATATTGCTGATGCTATTGCACAGTTCTGTAGCAGTCCTCTGTAGCAGTGGTGACTTTGGTATGGCATGCTTTCTGCTTATCTGTTTCTAGACTATTGCTTTGTTTCTTCTCTTTCATTGCAGACTGTCATAAACATTTCTCCAGATACTTCACAGTTAGTGGTCTCTAAAACATTCTTCATTCAATACCTCATGTGCAACGAACATTTTTCCTAGTTTTCATGCTTTCCTTCTTCATCCTTTGTATTAGGAGAAGCCCTTTGTATCAGAAGCAGCTAGGAAGAAAGAGAGAGACTTGGTAGCCAAAGAAATTGAGAAGTTTCAGGTCTCTATTCAGACTCTGTGCCGGAGTGCCCTTACACTTGGCAGGATCATGGATTACATTCAAGAAGACATGGATGCCATGAAGAACGAGTTGCAGATGTGGCGGCACGAGAACAAACAGCATGCAGAAGCTCTACAGAAAGAGCAAAGGTGAGTGTGGTCAGGGAAAGTTTGATTTATCTCTCAAGACAGATTTCTGTTTTTAGGAGAGAGGAGAGTTTTGCTTAATTTTCAAAGCAAATTTGTCATCAGTCATTTTTGTGGTTTGGGGAATTTTTTTGCAGTCTGAATTGTTTTTTGAAGTGTTAAAGTCTTAAGGTCTTTTCAGCTCAATTTCATATGATGTACATGACAGCAGAGATGCAAATGTTTATGTGAGGTGAGAGGGCTTGATGTTTTGTTTTCTTGTTCTCACAAATATATAAGGAGCAATGGGGGAAATGCTTAGTAAACAAAGTAGATTTTTGAATTGGGACTAGGAGTGGATTCCTGAATCACAACCTGCTCTCTTTGTGCCATTGAATTCAGTGTGTTCTGCAGTGGTGTTAATGACAGTTGTCTGTGCAAGGTTAAAAAACAACATTGGAAAGCCATGAGGGTGAAGGTGGTGTGCATAATAGAAACAAGGAGGTCAAGCCTAGAAACAGTTTCTTTGGCCTTACTTGTCTCACCAATGTGTCTTTATGCTCCTTAAAAACTGAACTTCCCTTCCAGTTGTGTCTCTGATCTTAAACATGAACTAGATATCATAGAATCATAGAATCATTTAGGTTGGAAAAGACGTTTAAGATCATCCAGTCCAACCATTAACCTAACACTACCAAGTCCACCACTAAACCAGTTAAGGGTAGACTAATAATTAATTTCATGTTTCCTGGCTTGGTAGCTGGATTTTTTTTTTAATGAAAGTAAAACTAGGAATCATTAAGGTTGGAAAGGATCTCTAAGATCATCAGTCCAACCATCAACCTGACAGCACAATGCCTACTAAACCATATCCCAAAGTGCCACGTCTACCCAT